GGTGGGAAGAGGCATGGCTACTTTACGTAGACACACCCCAGAAGATAGATGGCAATTGAGTTCAGTGACCCAGGTGGAGACTTGGTTGTAGGGCCAACTATCCTATCCAATAGCACAGTGGGGGGTGGGAGGAATGGACAGATGCATACTGGCCCAGTCACAATACTTCAATTCAAGAACTAAGGCTAGAGAGATGAATAAACAGAAGCATACATTGACCATTCTGAAGTCATTATTAATTCAGAAGCACCCTAAATTCCAACCAGAAAGAGGAGAGTAATTCCATAACCACTGTAAGCAGAGACTCAAAAGAAAAGGTAAATTTTGAATTCTTAAAAAAAATAAAGCAAGAGATTAAAAAAAATGAAGTAAAATTTCTGGAGGAAAGAGTTGGAAAGAGACTAAATAACTTAGAACAAAGTAGCATGCCTTACACAAATAATGGACTCTTTAAAATAAGAACAGATTAAACACATCAATGGTTCCCTGAAACAATTCTAAGGACTATTAGAATAAAATCAAAAGATTGAAAAAAAAAAAGAGAAAAAAATGTAAGGTATCTGCAAGCAAAAACAACAGTCCTGGAACACAGGTCAGGGAGCAATAATTTAAGCATCGTTAGGTTCCCTGAAAACAAATTAAAAAAAAAAAAACAGCCCAGACATTACATCTCAAGAAATCATAAATTAAAACTGATTCTATTAGAACCATAAAAGTGAAATTACAACCCACCAATCACTTCCTGAAAGAAACCCCAAAAGGAAAAGTCGTAGAGATATCATATCCCAAATTTAGGATTTTCACATCAAGGAAAAAAAATACTGCAAGCAGCCAGAAAAAAAGATTTCGAGTACTAATGAACCACGGAGAGGATCATAAAAGATCTAGCCACTTCTACTCTAGGTGAAATCTTGAAGTATAATATTCCAAAAGGCAAAATACACAGACTAAGAACTCAGAATAATTTAACCTACAAAGAATAATAGAAGACTTTCAGGTATTCTGGATGAAATGACCAGAGCTTAGTAGAGACTGAAATTTCTCTTGACAAGAGTCAAGAGAAACCTAGAAAGATAAACTTATTTGAACAATTGGATTGAACTGTTTCATGATAAAGAGCTACTAGGGAGAGAACGTACAATTGGCCATTTAGAACTTTAATGTTTTTAAAGGATTTTGAGTGAGTTAATTAGAAAAACAGAGTGGGGTAGTAGTGAAATGAGTCTGTTCTGAGAGTTTGAAGGGAGGAGAAAAGAAATGCACTATTCTAGAAAGGAAGAAGAAGAGGGTGGAACCTACCACATTGGAGTGCACAAGAAAAGTATATAAAGATGGAGGAAGGGGGCAGAGGGTTTGGGCATCAAGCGAACTTTATCTGAAATGAACAAAGGATGGTTGAACATACACACAGACTGAACAAGAACATAAATGGAGATAGGGAAGAAATAGCCAAGCCCAAAACAACCTTACTGATCCCAAAGTGGGTGGTGAGGATTAAAGTGGGGGGAAAACAAAGCAAAGCCTTGGAAACTAATTGGGTGCCAGTTGAGGAATGGCTGAACAAATTTAGGTTTATGAATTTAGTGGTCTATTGTTTTACCAGTAGAAGTGACAGAAGAGATCTTTTCAGATAATTCTGTGAAGTATGAACTAAAAAAGTGATCAAAACCAGAAGAATTTGTAGGATAATAGTATTTTAAAGAAAAATAATATTGAAAGAGTTTAGAACTCTAATCAAAACAATGAGCACACACAAAGACATACATTTTTGGACATGTCCAGAGTTGTTTAAATTTGTTTTTCTTTGACTATGCTTATTTGTTAAAAGGGTCTTTTTTTCCCTGTTTTGAATTAGAAAGAGGGTTGGACTGAGGGAGATGAAGTATCAATAGTAATGTAAAAAAAAAAAAAAAAAGGAAAAATGTTGGCCACCGAAACATTTAAAAATGCACACAATGGAAGGAAGTTCAGAAGGAAGAAGAAACAGGACAGTTTTGAGTGAGATGTTGAATTCAGATATTAAGAAAAAGTGGTGTCCAGTAGATATTCATGGTTTTATATAGAATCCTCTTTATGGTCTACTTTTTATATGGAAAAGCTCTTTTTAAATACATACACAAACATATTATTGTGATAGTCTAGGCAAGAGGTGAGAAGGACCCCAGCTACGGTAAGAGTTGCACTGTTAGATGAGACAAGAGGAGAGCTATCAGAGACTCCTCCCCTGTGCCCCATGTGTGGAATGTTCTTCCTTCTCATATGTACTTCTTGTAGCCTCTTTCTTCAAGGCTCAGCTGCCATTGCCTTTGTGATTTCTCCAGTTGTTACTTGTATCTCACCTCAATGACTTTTTAGTTATTTTTATACATTATATTAACAAATTATTAAATATATATTTTAAAATATTAAATATAATTGTTACATGTTACTCATCTATACTCCCATTATCTGTCAGCAGTATTTTAGGATTATAGACCCAGAGTTAAGAGATCTCAGGGATCAGTTTGTAATCCCCTCATTTTACAGATAAAGAAACTGAGGCCTAAAGGGGCTAAATTACTTGGCCTGGCCCAATAAGTATCCAGAGGCAGTGTTCTTTCCACATTCTCTTTAGTATAATGGCTTCAAGTTCCTTGAGGCTATGGACTGTATCTTATTTTTCTATTTATATCCCCTATGCTTAGCACATAGTAGGCACTTAATAAATGTGGGTTATTTGGAGATGTTATGAAAATAAAATCAATAAGACTTGGCAACTATCTAGATATGGATGGTGAGGGAAAAGGGAAGAATCAAGAATGACCCTGAAGGCGGAGCCAAGATGGCAGAGTAAAAGTAGTGACTTGCTTGAGCTCTCCCCCAAACCCCAACAGATACCTGTAAAAAATGGCTCTAAAGAATGACCCTGTGGATAGAGCACCAGCCCTGGAGTCAGTAGGACCTAAGTTCAAATCTGGTCTCAGACCAGATATTTGACACTTACTAGCTGTGTGACCCTGGGTAAGTCACTTAACCCCAACTGCTTCACCAAAAAAAAAATGACCCTGAAGTTTGACCCTTAGATGACTGAAAGAGTGTTCATGCTTTCATCAACTATTTAAGTGCCTACTATTTTCAAGGTGCTCCATTAGGTTCAGTTTGTAAGGTTTTTTTTTTTTTGTAGGTAATCCAGTGAGCAAAGCTTACTGTAAGCAAAGAGACAATCTCAGTCACTTGGAGTAGTCCAGGTAATACATTTCCTTGTGACACTCTAGTTTTCTTAGAGAAACTGTTTGCTAGTGGTCTCCTTACTTCCCAAAACCCTCTTTCCACTATATGTCATCCTTACACATTGGAGTTTTGTTAAATTACCAGTGTGAAGTGGCAGAATTATGAATGTATTTATTCTCATTCACCTTAATATCTATCATCCTAGGAATTTAATGTTCTTAAAGCAAGCTCTGCCATAATACAGTACTAAACAAACGGGCACAATTTAAGAACCTTAACCCCCAAATATTCCTAAGGCCTCTTTTCCAGAGACCACTTTGCTTTACCTGGTCTTCTACCATTCCCAAGCAAGAATAAATGATATAATGCAGTTTTTTATCCCTCACTGTATATTGTACAAAAGATGAGATGCTGTAGTATGTTGCCATCTAGTGGAATATGAAGTGAACTAAAGATGAACATTCTGACTTAGCTGACTTAAAAAAAAAAAATTACAGTATGCTCAGTTTCTCATCACTAGGAGCAGTGCATTCAAACTATAAAAATGTGAAATTATTTTTAAAACCTTTTGAAAATCTAGTTAAACTAAGGTTTAATCTTAATTTTCAACCTTATCTTCAAGTAAAGTAAGAAGTGGTACTGTACTATGTAGAGTACTGGCACTGGAGTCAGAGATCCTGGGTTCAAATACCATGTCCTGCTGCCTAATGTTACTTGTGTGGCCTTGGGCAAGTTGCTTAGCCTCCATAGACCTCAGTTTCCCTATCTGCAAAGTACAAAATCTAGATGAGCTCTAAGATCCCACTCCAGTCCTAAATCTATTGTCGTAGATAAAAGGTGGGCAGGTAAAAGTATATATTTACCTCAGGAAAGAAACAGTAGATAGAATCCTACAATGGTAGAGCTTAAAGAGAGCTGAGACCATTTACAGACTTCTTTTGCTTTTTACCCACTTAGCCTCATTTTAGAGATATTCAGTAGTAGCATTTATTTAGTGTTTTGAGGTTTACAAAATACTTTACAAATATTGCTTCATTTTCTCTTCATAAAAACCCCGTGAGGTGATATTATCCTCATTTTATGGATAAAGAAAATGAGTCAGAGAGTTGTTAGGTGAGTTGCCTATGGTCACAGAGCTTGTAAGTAACTGAGGCAGGATTTGAACTTAGGTCTTCTTGCCTCTAGTTCTAGGAACTCTATCCATGATGCCACCTGGCTGCTTCAGACACAATAGCAGAGCTGAGACTCAGACCAAGGTCTCCTACCTCCACCTCCAGCTGTCCTTCCATTCCATGGCTTCTGTTTCTATTTCTGCCACATAATAGTCATTAGAACAGTAACTCTTCATGTTTCCCATCTTCATCTGTAAACTAGCATAACTAGTTTATGAAGTGTAAGGTCCAATGGCAAAAGGCTATTTATACCTTATTTATTTTACTTTATTCATCTACTTTAGACTGTAAAACTTTCCTAGCTCATTTTTAGTTATTGTTAAGCTTCCAAGGATTTGGGCTATGCTTATACTTTAAAGAAATAAACATGTTACTTTAAAAAGCAAGAATAATATTTCAGCACCTTTTAAAATAAACAGCAACCCAGCAATTCCAACTCTTTAGTTCAAGCTCTTACCTTTTAAGGTTTTTAAAAAAGTTTTAAGCTCTATTTTATTTATGATTTGTGGGTACTTTTACACTTTAAAATGTTATACCTTTTCATTTTAATTTAATTATAATTGGTAAAGTATTTTTATTAACTTTCATTCTTTTTGTTGGGGGTGGTATTTTACTTAGGTCACTCCCTGGTACCACAGCAGCTGAATGTGCATCAAACTTGAAGAAAATATACACAGTGCAAACGGTGCAGGTAAGAGAAATGAAAGGTCGGGGAATTGCTCCGTGTTAACTAAATATGTGTTTACAATGAGGAGCTTTTTCTCAAAAGTCTTATAAATGAAAACATGAGAAATGCCATACTAGGTCAGACTAGTGCAGATCTAGAACTACAGGCAAATGTCTGTTCAATGAGAGACACTTTTAGAACATTTTTACATATTAAGTGCCTACTCTCTGCCAGGCCTTCTACTAGGCACTGGGAATACAAACACGAAAAATGAGATTGTCCCTGTTCCCAATGAGCTCACTTTCTGTTTGCATAACATGTTCGTAACTAAATATATACAAAATCATGTACAAAATCAATACAATTTTAATTTGAATGGATAGACACTAGTAGCTAGAGAGATCATTGATGGTCTCATGGTGTTGTAGGTATTTTGTGCTACATGCCACATGTGTTACAATGGAGACTACAAACTTCTAGAGGAAGTTATGTACAGTAGTCCAATTTTGAAAGCTAGAGTTCTCAATTTCCTTTAACTAGTTCTGGTGGTTGGGTGTTTAATCCAGGATTGTTTATCTTGCATTGTCATTAAAATGAATTTTATGGAAATGGACAGAAGCAAAGAATAAACTGCGAATTTAGCTAACTTCATTATATTGCTCTCATCCATGAATTATGATGCTAAGTCATTTGTGACTAAAGGAATTGAGGGAGGAAAAAAAATATTTATTAAGTGCTTACTGTATATCAAGTACTGGAGAGTAAAGATGTCTTAAAAGAGATAGTCCTTTTGAAGATAACATGAGGGGAGGGGAGGGAGAGAGGAGAGGAGGCTTTTTTTCCCCTGGGCAGGATGGTATATGCCTGTTTAGTAGACAGAGGGCGAGATACCTGGTACCTATTTGGCTGTATGGGTTGTAAAGCTAAAACATGGTCTGGTGTCTAGGACCAGCCAACAGATACGGTAGAAGATAACAGGAGACTAAGTGGGTTAGTTTCTACAAGCTCAGTCACTAATCAACTGTGGTGACCTCTGGGGCAGAAGCTCCAAAAGTAAGTGGGTTAACAGCTCCAGGCATTTTGGGGGATGGTGAATTCAGGAAGACTGAGACAAAGAGGTTCAGGTCTCAGATTAGATGTGGAGAATGCTAGTCTAGGGAGAAAAAAACATTTCAGCAGCACCTGCAGATGATGATATGGGCTAAGCGGGTGGCTGAATGGGATATGAGCCTGAAGCCCATGTTAAGGGCCAACTAGGAGACATAGTAGGCTAGTGGGAAGGGAATAAGCATTTATATAGAAACTATTATGTGCCAGGCACTGTGCTAAGAACTTTAAAAAATATCATCTCATTTGATGCTCACAACAATCACAAGGGTGCATGCTATTATTATCCCCATTTTTTACAGTTGAGGAAACTGAGGCAATAAGTTGTTAAGTGACTTGCCTAGAATCACACAGTTAGTAACTATCTGAGGTTGGATTTGAGCTCAGGTCTTCCTGACTTTAGACTTAAGTGCTCTATCCAGCTGCTTCCTATGCTATTTTGCACAAACTCAGTCACAAATCATCTGGTTTGAGCTCTAGCAAAAGATCCTAGGATTTAGAGCTGTGAGGGACCTTAGTGCTTTGGTCCAGCCCTCTCATTTTACAAATGAAGAGTGAGGTCCAGAAAGATGTTGTGACTTCTCCAATGTCATAGTAACTGGCAAGTAGCAGAGCTGTGATTCAAAGTCAGCTCCTCTGCTTCCAAATCCAGCCCTTTCCCCACCACCACCCTCCTTTTCTGAAGCCTATTTGCTTCCTGTTTTATGGTAATTCCTTGTAAAGGAGTAATGGAGGTGGGGAGGAGCTCTGAATCTGGGATTTCAACCTTATAGAATATTCCTAGTGAATAAACTCCTTCTACAAAGGCAGATTGGCCACTTTTGTAAAATTTAGAGTTTTCTGGAGGCATTGAGAAGTTCTGTGATTACACGGTATCGTTTAGCTAAGCTGTATCAGAGGCTGGCCCTTCTTATGCATGGTGCTTCTGTACTAACTGTTACTGTAACAAATTATTTGGGTAATATGACTACCCCTTGGGTAGAGAACTGGATGGACTTCATGAGACTGGGGATGCTGCTGCCTATGAGACCAGTGCTTAAACTGTTAAAGGGGCAGGGTGATGGATTCTTAGGTATTAATGTCCCTTTTCTCTTCCTCTTACCCTACCACACCCTACCCCCAGGGAAGTCGAGAGGCAGGACCTGGGGACTGAGTGAAGGAAGGAAGAGTGGTTCCAGATATCTATCTACCAAATGAGAAATAGGAGGAGAAGAAAAAGAAATGGCACCTACAATGGCATGTGTTAGAAACTGCTTACACAAGAGTTGAAAATCATTGTTAGACAGTGATGCCAACTATTGTCGCAAGGTATTTATTAATTGCCAAATGAGTGATCTGGGCACTACGTGCTAGAAAAAGTGCAACTTGAACTGGACCGTTCAAGATGCTGAGAACCATAGAGAGGGCGTGTCAGGAAAGGAAATGACATAAGCAAAGTCATGTCTTTCCAGTTCTGTGCTTGTCTATTGTCAAGGAGAAAGCCCGGAATGTCTGAATTACAGACTTCTAGCCTTAGAGTTAGGGCAGTTTGGGCAAGTGTAAAGATCTATTAGACAAGTCGAGTAAACATTGTAATGATCTTACGTTCAGTTTCAGCGAAACTTTGTTAATTCTTGAGTTACATTTGAGCATTGTTCTACAGTTATTGTTCTTTCCCTGTGCTGTAGATTTTTTGTGGGTTCAAAGCTGTTAGGTCATATGAATCTTTCTTTTTCTCCAAATGCACTTGTAGGTAACTTTTATTTTCTGGTTGTGAATTGACAATCTGTGCTATGCTGTTTTGTCATTCAGGCATACTTATTTTATTGTGAAAAGTGGAATCATTTCTTTCTACCACTACAAAAAAATCAGAGACCATTACCTTTTCTTTATAATGTAAAGAGCAGAATTCTGAATAGTAAACTATTCTATCTTCTGGAATGATGAAAATGGATATTTCTTAGGTTTTTTCCCCCTATTGCCTTATTCTTTTGCAATCAATCAATCAAACAACACTTATTAAGTATTTACTAGGTGCTAGTCACTGTGGATAAAAAAAAAAGAAAGGCAAAAACATGAAAAGACTTCCTATACTTGAGGATCTTACATGCTAATGGGGCAAATGATATGCAAATAAAGAGGCACATGAAATATACATTTGGAATAAAAGGAAGGTAAGGTCAGAGTAGAAGCATCAAGGGGCAACTGGGACTGTGAAGGCCTATTCCAGAAGGTGTTTTTTGAAGTGAGTCTTGAAAGAAGCCCAGGAAACTTAGACATGGGGCAAGCATTCCAGCAGTGAGGGACGGCAAGTACAAAGGCATGGTGATGAGAAGTGTGTGACAGGAGAGCCACTGCCACTTTTGCTGTCTGTAGAGTACATGGAGGGGAGTAAAGTGTGAGAAGACTGGAAAGATAGGAAGGGTCAAGGTTGTGAAGAACCTTAAATTCCAAACAGGTGACTTTACAGTTGATGTTAGAGGTAATAAGCAACCACTGGAGTTTATTGGGTAAAAGGGTGGCAGGGTTAAGAAATTATAATACTGTGGGAAGAAAGGATTGAAGTAGAAAGAGACTTAGGCAAGAAGGTTATTATAGCAATCCAAGCTAGAGTTGATGAGCACCTGAACTAGAGAGGTTGGTTATGTGATTGGAGAAAAGGGAACACATATGAAGGGTATTGGGAAGATAGAAACTACAAAATTGGGCAGCTGATTGTCTATCTGAGGTGAGAGTGGAGAGTCAAGGAAGATGCTCAGTTTACAAACTTGGGTGACTTGGAAATTCGTGATGCCCCAGCTGTAATGGGGAAGCTCAGAAGAGGGAAAAGTTTGGAAGCAAACATAATTAATTCTGTTTTCAACATGTTGAGTTAGAGATGCCTGTGAGACATCTAATTCAAGAGGTCCAAATGGCAGTTGGAGATGCGGTATTGCTGTAGTAGGACTGGGTATATAGATTTTTGAATCATCTGTATAAAGATGATAATTGAATCCATTAGCTAATGTAATTGATCATCAAGGAAGATAACATATAGTAAATTCTGCTATAACATGTTTCAAAAATGTGCATTTATTTCATCACAATTGAACATTTTGAGCATAATACAAATTTCAATTTTACTTCTATGCTATTTATTCTGGAGACCTAGTGTTGTGGCCTGCCCAACTTGGTCATGCAGCCAGGGTGCAAGCTGAGCAGCATCCTGAAGCTGACGATATGACTACTTGTAAGGAAGGTGGATTTTGTTATTCTTTTTTAGATACTAGTTTCCAGGATCCATGGCCAAAACAATCTCCAGTTCCCAGGTTTTCACATTATAAACAATTTCTACTGAGACTGTGCAGTGAGATAAAAGGATGAGATAGTGTAAACATTTGGGTAGTTTTGTAAATAACTTACTGCATCTGCACAGTGGTAAGTCATCAGGATATTGCTAAAGTTAATGTAAACTTGTGAGGCTATTGCTGGCAAATTGCTTTCTTTGTGTGCTCACCTATAAATCAGTGGTCAGTGAGTGGGGATTTGGAGAACGTATAGGGGAATGCATGTGTGTCTGCCTCAACCAGCCCCCATTGAGGCTTAGGGGGAATGCACAAGCTGGAATGCTGTGTTGCCTTGACCAGCCCTCATCGAGGCTTAGGGGAATGAGATAGGAATTGTGCTCTTACATAGGGGTTATTGCCCCATTCTCACTGGCCCTATAAGAAGAGTAATTAGGGGAAGCTGTAGGAGTTGATGTTCCCATTATCTGCAACCCAATTGAGAAAAATAAGAATAAATAATTATTTAACCCCTCTGAAGCTGCCTTCCTGTCCTTCTAGCTGCCCAGATTAAGAGTGAACCTGCTAGAAAAGCTCCTCCAACTCCTGTGTTTCTCCTGCCTTACACTACTATTTCTTGTAATATTTATGAATTTTGAAAATTATTTATGCATA